TTTACTCTTGCTAGTACATGTTGAATTACAAGTACAAACTCAAGACCTATTTATAGTAGCCTAGGCATATGTAGTATACATGCATCATATTAAATATATTCATCATGAATCCTAGATATACATGCATCTAAAAATTCATGTATTTGCCTATTCATGTATATTCTATCATACATTGTACATGTGGATATTCTAGAAAGTGCATTAATATTTCAAGAGGCTATACTATATATATATATATATATATATATATATATATATATATATATATATATATATATATAGTTTAATTAATTTTGACATGTTACATTATATAATTTTAAAATATATCCAACAAAAAGAAACATACACCAATGCTGACATCTAAAACGTGAAACACGTGCTGCCCACTGACCAAATTAAAGGGTCAGTTCTCAATTTCTCATACATCTGTCAACATATTTTCTATATACCAGTGGCTCATGTTTTTTAATTGCTATTTTATTTTATTTATTTATTTTCTATTTTTTATTTTAAATTTTAATTAATATCTATAGCATGGAAACCCATGCACTCCTATAAATAGTAGGCCAACTCCATTAATAAATTAAACCAAATACAAATATATATTTATTTATTTTCTCATTAACATGTCTAGCATTATAATGCCATTAGCGATTTCAAACAAGCCAATGAATTGTTTTTCTTCCTTCATGAACAGAAGAAAAGATTCAAAATCGTGCTTGGCATCTCATCATCGTACTGCATCATTAATAATAAACCCTAATTATTATTGTTCATCATTAAAATGCATTAATGCTACTAAGTCCGTTTGTGATGATCAAATCATCATTTCAAGTACCGTTAGACGAACCGGAAACTACAACCCTTCGCTTTGGGGTTTCGATTATCTTCAATCATTGACCGGTGAATACCAGGTATATATCGATAAATCGATCGATCACATCAATACTTTATTAACTTAATTATATGTAATATTTATTGTTTTATATAGGAAGAGAAATACTTGATAAGAGCTTCCGAGTTGGTGGAGCAAGTGAAGATTCTTTTATTAATGGAGGAACAAATATTGGAGCTGCCTATTCCGAATTTGGAGTTGATCGATAATTTGCATCGGCTCGGTATATCGTATCATTTTGAGGACGAAATCAACCGATTCTTGAATTCTTTATATCAACATCAACTATTTAATGGCGATTAAAACTATAATTGTCATCAAATGGATTTGTACTCGGTGTCACTTGGATTTCGACTCCTCAGACAACACGGTTTTCGCGTCTCCCAAGGTATACGTACTACTAGAACTCATTACATCTATATATATATACATGTGTGCTTGTGTGTGTGTGTGTGTGTGTGTTGTGTGTGTAATTTCTCATCTCACGTGTTTCTTGCAGATGTGTTTGATTGTTTCAAGAACGAGACGGGTGATTATTTTGAGGAAAGTCTTGGAGACAACAATACTAAAGGATTGTTGCAACTCTACGAAGCTTCTTTTCTTATGACACGTGGCGAAAACACATTGGAGCTAGCTAGAGAATTCGCCACCAATTTATTGCGGAAAAAACTTGACCGAATTAATGGCGACGATGATGTTCTATTATTAACGGCCGTTCGGCATGCATTGGAGCTCCCAATTCATTGGAGAGTTCAAAGGCCAAATGCAAGATGGTTCATCGAAGAAGCCTATGCGAAAAGTCGAGACATGAACCCTATTGTGCTCGAGCTTGCCAAACTCGACTTCAATATTGTTCAAGCAAAGCACCAACAAGAACTCAAACATGTCTCGAGGTGATTCGATAATTCTTAATTCTAAACATATTATTAATAATTTCTTTTATAATATATATAATCTATGTTATTGAAGAAGTTACATGCATGGAAATTTATTTGCATTTTTCATGCATATGTGATATATATATATATATATATATATATATATATATATATATATATATATATATATATAGTTGGTGGGAGAAAACAAGCATAGCAAAAGTGTTGCCATTTGCGCGCGATAGGGTGGTCGAGAATTACCTATGGACCACAGGAATATTCGATCCTCAATACGGATATTCGAGAATCATGGCCACCAAAGTCAACGCTTTGGTTACGGTGATCGATGATGTATTCGATGTCTACGGTACTTTGGAAGAACTGCAGATCTTTAATCATGTTATTCAAAGGTTACAATTTCATACTATTACATTATTTGATCGAACGTGTAATTATCGGGTTTAATTTATTTCATTCGACCAGCGCTATATAAATTATAATTGTTGAAAAAACTTGTCGTACGTGTTATTTCGTTCAGATGGGATATTGAAGCAATGGACAAGCTCCCACACTATATGCAAATATGTTTTCTAGCTCTCAACAACTTCGTCGACGAATTGGCTTACGATGTTCTCAAACAACAAGGGATTCTCATCATTCCGCATTTGAGAAAATCAGTAAGTAATCAAAATTAAATATTTGGATCGATTTTTACTTCATTAATTAGTTTTTAACTATTATTACCGGTTCACCAAATTAAAATTGTAGTGGGGAGACTTATGCAAGGCATACATGCAAGAGGCCGAGTGGTACTATGCAAAGCACACACCAACGAAGGAAGAATACATCGAGAATGCATGGATTTCGATATCGGCTCCCGCAATAGTATCTCAAGCATATTTTCTCGTGACGAATCCGATAGACAAAGAAGCCGTACGAAGCTTGTACCAATATCACAACATAGTTCGATGTTCGTCAATGGTCTTACGTCTTGCTAATGACCTTGGAACATCATCGGTTCGTATACATGCTACTTATAAATGTATCATGTATGATGTATAACAATTGAATTTATTGCATTCAGTACCCCTATGTGTTATATTGAATTGCATATTATTAATAGTAGCAAAAATCCCCTTATAATGCATCTTATTTAGCACACAACCTCCTAAATGGTGAGTTCTTAGGAGGCAGTTTGCTACAAAAAATTGAATCATATAGGCTTTTTTTTTCTTTTTTTTTTTTTGGCTATTAGTGAAAACACAGGGTTGTTGAATGCAATAAACCCTATAATAATTGGATTTCTTAAATATATTTTTTCATTTTGATTAGGATGAAATGAGCAGAGGCGATGTTCCGAAATTGATACAATGTTACATGAGGGAAACGAGTGCGAATATAGAGGAGGCGCGAGAATATGTGATGTCGATAATGCGCGAGACTTGGAAAAAGACAAACGAAGAATTATTACGAGTTGATATTAATGCAGATTCACAATTATTGCCACAAAATGTGATTAAAATTGCAGCTGATTTAGGGAGAATGGCACAATATATGTACCAACATGGAGATGGGCATGGGATTCAAAATCTCGAGATGAAAGACCGTATTTCGAGTTTGTTGTTCGACCCTTTTCCAATATAGGGCATGTTGGATTTTAATTTCCGTAAATTTTTCTATCGAAATTTAATTTTTGTGTACGTTATGCAAATTTGCCCAAATCAAGAAAGGGATGGTCGAATTGATGGGTTTGTGCTTTTGTATTTGTTGCATATCACACCTTTTGCTACTAATAACTTAAGCACATAGTTTATAATTGGTTGCAAATTTAGATCGGATAGCCTGTTTTAATAGGAAAATCGAATGCTATAGGATGATTGACACGTAGATAATTTAAATAAAAATATAATTAAAATTCTAATAATTGAAGAAAGAAAAAGAAAAAGAAAAAAGAAAACCCCAGCATAACTCATAAGCCTTCTAACCCTAATTATTATCAGCGTGATTTATTAAGAGTTAAGACTTAAGAGTGCCACATGTCAAAAAATTAGTTGAATCCGATTTATATTAAATATCGACTGATCCGCTCAAAATTTAATCTCTTTATAATTTTAAGCTAAAAATATCGACAAGTCCTATATAAAAAATGGGTTTTTGTGTATAAGTCCCTAACCAAGCATCTTATTATTCTATGTTTAGGGGCTATATCTATTTCACCAATAAGCCAATCCCTTCAATATTTATTATAAATAAAGGAAAAATTCATGTATATGACAAAATTACGCCCAACCTTTTACACCCAATTCTTAATTATAATCACAATTTAATAAAATTTGACCACAAAAATCCAATTTTGACTTTTTTTTCTCAAAAACTCTTTTTTTTCAAAAAAAAAAAAATTTTGCCACCGGATTTCGGCGTTGACTTTTTTTAGTGTTTTTTTTTTTTTTTTTTTTTTTTTACGTTCGCCGCTAAACGTTGAGCGTAATTGTGGTGTCATTAACGGTAATTATATTGTCACTGACAGTAAATTAACGTAATTATACTGTCAATGACAGTACATTAACGTAATTGTACTGTCGTTGACAATACATTTATGTAATGGTACTGCCTTTGACAGTAAATTAACGTAATATTTTTTTTTGTTATTCTTTTATTAATTTTGTTTGATTTGTTGACAAGTCAATGTAATTATATTACTGTCGTTGAAAGTAAAATAAATGTAAACACAATAATATTACTGTCAACCACATCAATATTATTATTTTTTTTGGGTTTTTTTGTTTTGTTTGAGTTATTAGCGGAGTAACGTAATAATATTACTATCTATTATTGTAATATTACTGTGGTTAACGGTAATATTACAGTTGTTATAGTAATATTGTTGTCAACCACGCATCAATATTATTATTATTTTTTTTGGGTTTTTTTGTTTTGTTTGAGTTATTCACGGAGTAACGAAATAATATTACTATGTATTATTGTAATATTACTGTGGTTGACGGTAATATTACAATTGTTATAGTAATATTGCTGTCAACCACATCAATATTATTATTTTGTTTGGGTTTTTTTGTTTTGTTTGAGTTATTCACAGAGTAACATAATAATATTACTGTCTATTATTGTAATATTACTGTGGTTCACGGTAATATTACTGTTGTTATAGTAATATTATTGACATTCACAGTAATATTAATTCTTTTGACTTTTTATTATGTTTACATTTGTTGAACGGTCAACATATTAATATTACTCTATTCCACAATAATAATGAGTTTTGTTGTGTTAATATTACTATGCTAGATATGAATAATTATATAACAATATTATTGTGTTAAACTGTAGTATATTTAATTTTACTGTGTTTAACCAGTAATATAGTTAATATTACTGTCAGTCACAACAATATTGTTGTTTAAACGGGAAAAAAAATGTTACAGAAAGAAAGAAAAAAAAAAAATCCGAAAAAGTCAACGTCGGAGACCGACGTTGACTGGTGGCGCAAAAATCAGAAAGAAGAAAAAAAAAATTCAACGCCGGAGACTGACGATCAACGACGGTGACAAACGAAATTGTCCATAAAAATGTGTTTGGGTCAAAATTGAATAATTTGTGAAATTTGGGGTCAAATTGATGTTAGATTAAATTGAAGGATGAAATTGGAGCATATTAAAGTATAAGGGGCTATTTTAGTCTTTTACAAAAATCTGGACCATATGTGAACTTTTTTGTAAAAGAGTTTATTGTCTGTATCTTTTTATGAATAAGTACCCATTGATGTGCTTATTTGTAAAGAGCCCTATAAATATCTTCCATAAAAAAGTCCCAAAAAATATTCTTATATCAAATTCCCAAATCAAAATATTAATACTAGATGTTTCAAATTTAATTTTTTATTAATCCTATTAACATATGGGAAAATTTGACAAAACACCCCAATTACATTAGGCCGAATTTTATTTTTCATTTTTAAGATAAATCCAAAACAACTTTTATTAATTAACAATTCTTAATCATCACTATTATGCCCCTAACTAATTAATACACGTGTTTTAATATCTGTTATTAGAAGATACATAATATCTTCAACATAAATATTTTAAGTAGCACTTTCTCAACTAATTCCACCATTAACGCTTATTGATTACACATTTCCATCTATATATAATATAAAAAGAGGATCTATGCCCTCAATGATTGACATGTGGCAAATGATGATGTCATTTGTCAAAATTGCTTAGTTGGAGTTCAATTGATGAGGTGGATTGTTCAATTGATTAGGTGGCATTTTTATTTATGGATGTTTTTAAGTTTTTCCCTATTTTATATTTACACAATCATTAAATAATTACCACATGTATATATATTATTTCCAAAGTTAATATTTTATAAATTCGAAATAAAAAAATCTTATTTATATTTTCAGTATTTCAAAATATATTTATTGAAAAAAATTCATGAAACTCAATTTTTTTACGAATATTCAAATAATTTTCATAAAAAAATACTTTTTTTAAATACTAAAATATTAAAATAAAGGAATATGTTGTTGTTGTTTTTTTTTTTTGTTTTTTTTTTAAATTTTCAATATTTTAGAATATTCGAATATCCATTCCATTAAAAATAATAATAAAAAAATGTTTTATTTTTTAATTGAACTATTTAATAAATATACAATATTTTATGTATATAATTTTTATTATACCATATTTCAAATTAAAAATAATTATACTATTTAATAAATATGCAATATTTTGAAATTTGAAAATTTAATAATTTAAATGCAGTATATTTTAACAATTTAAAGCATATTTGTTGTTTTCTAAATTTTTTGTGATCTCCAGCCCACAAGAAATTGTTTTCTAAATGCAGTAGTTTTAAAGTATATTTCGAAAACACTATTTATTATATAATATGTTTCGAACTATAAACCGGATTATGCATTATATTTGTCAATTACTATTTCAAATAAAATATCAAATCACCAATACAAAGGAATCTTTAATATTCCAAGATTCCTTCATATCATCTTTGATTGATTTAATTTACACTTTAATTCAAAATTGAATGGTAAAAAATAAAAATCGTATCTTCATATTTAATGTTTTTATATTGCAAGATTTTTTTCCACAAGTTATTATTTTATTTTTTTGGGTTGTTTCCTTTATTTGTTTGATTTGATTTGATTTACTAATATATAAATCTTTTGAATTTTTAATTTTTCCATAGAATTAAGTTCATTTTCAATACTATATAAACCCCTCAATGTTCATTTCATTTTTATGTACCACCATTCGATTACAAAGTGCACAATGTTCGTATTATACAGTTTCATATTACATTTTTTTTTTATAATTATTTTTATATATACATATTAGTACTATTTGTATTTCTTTATTTTGGGTTTTAATTTTAATATACTTTTTAATTGTTTTCATGCAGTTTATTAAATAAAGTCGTTCGTACTTTATGAAGATCAAAAAAATTGTTTGCGCTCATTTCAAACAATGTGTTCTTTGCAACGCGTATTTTGATCATAATTTCGATCCATGTATGTGCGTCTCATGTAGGGAATCAATCAAAGTCGTTCCCACGCTCTGGATCTTGCATTGTATGTTCCTTGAAAATATAGTATTTTTATAATTAAAAATTTACATTAACATCATTCCATGTATTTTGATATCATATTAGTTTTCATTTATTTTAATTCTTGCAAATATAGTATATTTATAGACTTAAATGTTTAAACCGAATTGAAAATTTTAATTTTTATATATTACGAAATTTATATTTTTATTATTAAAATACAAAAACAAATGTATGTATATTTCATATATTTTGAAATTTTTCTAAAATTTGGAGATGCATTTATTATATAAATCATTTCTCTATAATATGTATATTATTGATATGCCTATTGGGCCAGCCCAATTGACCCATATTTACTCGGCCACAGGCCCAACTTAATAGCTATTTATACGAAGGCCCAATCACACCCAAAAAAGGTTGGGTCCGATAAATTGATCTCGGCCCAATCCATAAAGTATAAATACAACTTAAATTCATTTAATAAAGGTACGTTATTATTATTCCCTCAATTCTTCTATTCGAATTCTCTCCTCATTTACCCACTATCTTCACGTCTGACTTGAGCGTCGGAGGGGTTTCCGCCGGATCAACCCCCGGCTTAGATTACGTGTTTTCTGTTCGCAGGATCCTAGAGTAAATTAAAGTTCTCAGGACTATCTAGCTCGTGAGCACGTGACCTACTTTGCTCTCCCAGCTTCAACACACTAGGTGATTTATTTTTTACGTCATCATTTTGGCGCCGTCTGTGGGAATGCAGACCAGATCACGTAGCCAGCAAGATCCTCCTGAGTCCACTCGGAGAGAGAATGACACAGCTAACAACCTCCCAGTTCGAGGAGGCTCTAGCTTGCCACCTCCTCCACGTGCTCCGGATCCACCACGTGAGGTTCAGGTGATTCCCCCTCGGGATCCACCACTCGCCGATCCTCCACTACAGGCTCCACCTCTACCTGCTTCTCGAACGGTTCAAATAACCGAGGAGGCACTCCAACGAATGATAACAGAAGTTTCTACTCGCGCCGCCACTGATGCGGTGGCGCAATATATCGCCACGATGGCAGCAAATGCTCCCCCCGCGATCCCAGCTAACGCTCCCCCCGTGATCCCAGCTAATGCTCCACCCGCAATGCCACCCAGGGTACAGCAACCGGCCCAGAACAATGACGATCGGATAAGTGTATCCTCATCCACCTCAGATCCAAGATCCCGGATGCAGCTATCCACCAATCACAGGGAGTCTGCTTCCGCATCCGAGGCAATTTCAGTACACTCGACATCAATATCCTCCCCATCATCAGGAATGTCCTCCTCCATACCTCGAATAATCTTCTCGTCAATTCCTCCAACCTTGCGTAAGTACTGACGACACGTCCTAACCAAAGGAGCATAAACCCCAGCTATTGCTCGATCTTCAATCATAGCTCGACAGATATCACTCTTCTGAAAGCGACGTTCCCCTTCTAACATAACCGATTCCTTGTAAGCTGCTCCAGCCGAAGAAGCCAAAAACCTCTTCCCCGTAAACTTCTCGGCATCATACTTCTCCTTCAGCTCGTCATGTTAGGATAGTAGACTAAAAGTCTCGCTTTTAGCTTCATAATTTTATTATTGAATTAATAAAATAATTTATTATCATTTTATGAGAATCTGCACTAGGGTATTCAATGCATTTAATTGATTGTTTGTCAATTAATTAAAAGCACAAGTCTAATATTCTAATAGTATTCGAGATGGTGTGCTACGGCGCACAGAAAGATCATTTCGAAAGTTCGTTTGGAATATAAAGATAAATGTTCACAATCTAGATGGAAATGGACTAACCATTGGTAAAAGATTGTAGCACAATATTTAAGTGATTGGTCTTGATCACAGTAAACAGAGAATAACTTTTGTAGTTATTGTTTTGACTTATTGTGCTAGCACACCCGGCATGTGTTGAAACGGACAAAGTGAAATAATTGTTTCATCACTGTTCATAAATGAAACTGTATTATTTCTAGTTGACAGTATATTACTTACTCTCTTAATCCCTAGATAATTAACGTACACATTTAATTGATGATCTCTACTTTGATGTCACAATGGGAGAGATTCCTATATTGAGTCAAATGGCCCCCGGTGCGTTGGGTAGAGACATTAAGAATTAATAGGTGGAAATTAATTATCGAAAGGAATCCACATCTCTGAAATATGAGATTGATAATAACCCTTGAGTAGCTTATAAGATTTGTTTATGCCAAGTCCTGGCCAGGTGGATTTCGTATCCGGCATACTCAAATAAGTTAAGCGGGCAAGACTCATGAAAAGAAACCATTTAATTTATTTAGCAGTGAATAAATTATTTGGTGGTTATAAGATATCTTAATGTGGGGAGAATCTAAGTAATGATCGACCGGAGCTCGAATGTAATATTTGAGAATATAAACGGGAGTTCAATAATTATTTGGTAGTGGAAAATAAATAATTATTTAATGATTAATTAAATGAATTCTTTTAAGAGTTTGGATTTAATTAATTATTAGTTGCCCGATTTATATTTTCTCCTTTAGTCCCTATTGTAGCCCGTTGGATTTTCTAATTAATCGAGAAAATAAAGTTCAACCAATATTATATATTGGAATTAATATAGCCGAAAATTAAGTTCCCATAGGACTGCAATTTTTGACTATATAGAGTTATAGAAGGAGTGGGATTTGTTTCCATGTAATCCTCTCTATGTGGGACTCTAATTCCTTGTGCTATATATAATAGAGATTAGGTTGATGAAAATTAATTCCTAGACGCTTATTTCACGTTGGAGAGAAATATTTTTTCTCTTCTTCTTTTCTCTCTAAATTCTCGATTATAGTTTTAGATTTCTTCAAGTACAAGTCCACCCTTGTAGAAGAATTATTAATCCGGGATATACAATAGAAGATTATAGGTTTTAAGAGCAAACTATAATTCCCGAATTTTCTGAGCAGTCCTGCGAAGAAATTCACCATAAATCAACCGTTAGTCGGATAGGCTCGAAATTTATACAGTAGCTTCCTAACCCTTAGATCAACAATCGGTCCAAAGGGTTTCTCGATCGGATCAACGATCGCGGAGATATCGGTGAAGGAAGAGGACTGGAAATTTCTGGACAGCAGCTTTTACGAAGGTTGAAGGCTTGACGTGGATCCTCGTTCGTGCGCCGAAGATAGAAACGGATCTGCTCGCGAAAACTGTAAGTTGCTAGATTAGATTTATTCCGCTTTAAACGAATCTAATCAAAGCATGTTAATAAAATTAAAACCGGCTAATCTAGAACCTCTTGTGAATTTTCATTGAATCCTGGGCTTCACATCCCAACAATTGGTATCAGAGCTTCTTTGATTAATTCGTTTGAGGTTCACATGTTGTCCAAAATTGCATGAAACGGAAAATTCATATGTTGCATATAGCGTTTTGTTTCTGACCTTGTTTTGCAGAATATAAAATCCGCTATTATGGTTATGAATGTTTTATTTATGTTTTATGTGAATGGATCCCACTGCCTCGTGAGTGGTTACTTGTCGGTTTTAATTTCCATCGCGTGATATTGATGGAAGATCGTGTGCCTACGATATTTTTATTTTTTGTAATTTTTCTAGAGGAATTTTAGATAGAAATTACATAGATAGAATAGAGCAGATTTTGTTCTCGGAATTGTTTGCGCGACTGTGCCGTTTCTGTTATCTCGGCCTACTCCACCGTCGGATCGAGTTGAAATTTTTTCCGGAGGTTCCTAACTCCTTGGCGTAGCATCCCACCGTTCGGACCGTGAATCGGAGTTACCCAGATAGAGATATTAATTTCAGAACAAGGCTGGAAATTCCAGGACAACACCAGAATTATCAACCGCGCGGGGTCTCGACATCGGGCAGCGGGCAACGGTTCCGGGCAGCCCAGAATTCGAGAATTCTGGAGTTTACGGGGACTTTTGGACTTCCTAACTTTGAGGAGTCTAAATCCGGGAGTCCCAACTTAACCATAATAGCGGAAAATTAAATTGTTTTATTTAATATTTTATGGTTGATGTGTGCTTATATTTGTTATGAGCATGATTGCATGCATTATTCATGTTTATTATATTTGGGATTAATTTGTTTATGTGACACCCATGACATATAATTGGACAACATGAAATTTGGACATGCATAAATTTGTATTTAATTTATTATGTTCATGTTCATCTATGTGTATTATATTTGGTTATAAATGTTTTTATGTGATACCATGGCCTATAATTAGATAACATAGATGATTGTGTTGAACATGATAAATTTATCATGATTCTTAGTTTTTCTATGTGTGTTATATAGGATGATTAATTTTTGTATTAATAGGATCCCTTGATATATATAACTAGAGAACATAGAAATAGAACACACTCAATAGGTGCCCATAGTATTTCTATGATTAATTATATTGGACATCGTCATAGATTTTAGATAATATAATTGATTATGAGAAAGGCGATTTATCGAATTTCGTTCCCACTCCGGGCATAATTAATTATAGACATTATCTAGAAAAATCTCCTAAATGGATAATTTGGAATTGATTATAGTGATACATTATTTTCTCCATGTGGTGGAAAATAGATATCATAGAATAATCAATTTAAAATTAATTGATAGTCCAAAGACATATAATTAGAGAATATAGAAATTGAGCATTGTAATTACTTTCATAGATACCCTCATGAAAAATGTTTTTAAAATTATTAAGTGTATCGGGGAGTTTATTACGTATAAATCCTAAGGTCTCCATCATAGGCTTTAAGATAAATTAATTAATTGTGAGGAAGGAGATTTATCGAATTTCGCACCCACTCCGGGCACTTTTAATTATAGACTTATCTAGAAAAGTCTCCTAACGGATAATTATTAAAGAAATTGTAGTGATATGTTTGTCTCACTCCGAGTCGACGGATATCATAGAACAATTGATTTAAAGATGACTTGATGGTTAAACACTTAACAATAAAATATAATTATAACTATACTTCACTCCGAAGTCCCTGTTATATTTTATTGGACCAAAGTAACCGACTATTTAATTTTATTTTCCAAGACCGCCGAATTGGAATGATAATAAAATTAAAGATGTTTTACATGTCTGTCTATTGAAAACTTGTAGTCTGTCTACACTCCGTAGCCTACCGGTTCCTCATAGTGATGGATTGTCGGTTGATTTCAAAATTTGGTTTGAGGGAGCCATATTATGTGACAATCTAGAGTTCTTAAGGATGCCCTTAGTTTAAGTTTATTTGCTTGATTCTCTAGCAATTAATGATATATTCCTTAGATCCACTTTGTAGACTCACTTTTGCTAGGATTAATCGACCTATAATAATATATTAAGTGTTGCCTTTCGATTGAGAAATTTAAAAATATGTATTTTAATTGAGAAAATTCGTGAGTGAATAAGTGAAGTGAATTTTTGGAAGAAAATTTAGTTCTTCATTTATTTTCTTAGGACGATTAATTGGTTCGGTGTTATATATTGAATTTTGGTTCAAAATATAGAAACACTACGATGAGCCCATGGCAAGTACAAAATAATATAATAGTGAATTTCTTAGTAACGTGAGAAATTTAGAACTATAATTTTATTTGTAGCCATATTAAAAGCCTCTTGAATACATGCATTATTTATTTGGATTATTGGTTAGTCTTCATGTTCGAAAGACTATACGTCTTTTGAAAGTTCATGAACTCTTAGAAACCAAGATCAGTGGGAAACAGAGATCAACTTAATCCAAAAGAAATCTATTGAATTTTAATATTTTCAATTGAATAAGAAAATGATCTTTTCTATTGAAATTATTATGGAAATTCAAATAGGATTTACGATCCTCTGAAAATCGAAGAAGGCACTTTTAGAAGTCATATTCATTCAATCCTTCAATCGTCAGCTAATAATTAGGCTTCCTGTCACTCACGTGATATCAAGAATAGTAGTAACATTTAATTATGTTCAAATCGAAGTAGGATTTTATGTTTAGAGATTATCATTTTGTGTCTTCCAAATAGAAGGAATTTATTTTTCTTTTATAGGATGGTTTAAAATAAATAGTTTGTTTATTTAATCATGACTTGGTCTTTGTGGAAAATAAACAATTTTTATTTAGACACATTGATTGATATATTAACAATATTTTATTTCCTACACTACTATTACATTCAATGGATAAATCTATTAATTAACCTCAATAGAGTATATAAATATATATTCGTTTCGCAACCATGGCATGATTATTTGATATTTACAAGGGGTTGGATTTTACTTTAAGTAAAATTTGGAGACTGATTTACGATGGGCTTTTACGGTTCATGAAAAGTGAAGGCACTGCCAGTCTAAGAATTTTATTTGGAAAGTAAAATGACCATGTGCCCGGTTGATGGGCCTAGTGTAAATAAGATCAAATAATTTTTGGATTTATTTTATTCTATAGTTTGTGGACCTACAAATACCCTAGTTAAAGTAATTTTGAGTAGTTCATCTCATTTATTGATGATATCTCGAGACATAGATATATTTATATTATGCGACATATATATGAGGTCTTAAAGAAATTGAAGACCGTGACAGATAAGCATTTGAATAAATATATCAAGTCATTTGATATGGCGAAACTTTATGGGTATAAGTTATTGAACATTTTGGTTAAACTAGGGATTTATCCTAGATATGTTTGTACCAAATTGAACCACAATAGAATATAATATAGCGACGAAAATAATTAATACTTATTGAAGACGGTTTAATCATCGTGATTTATTGAATATTATTTATTTTTCTAATATATACATTTGAGACGGTTATTTATTTAAGAACTTAAGATCTTCTAAGTTAGTATCCAATGACTCTTGCCGAATTAAAGATTGTTTAAACGTACAATTGGTGTATTATTCGGAACTGGAGTCAGTTAGCATTTATGCTTCCAGAGAACACAATTGATAGAAGATAAGTTAGAAATAAATGTCTCTTGTATGGAATATTAAGAGAAAAATAATAGTGGTGCATTTTGATTCCTAGAGTTAAGAAAACATTGATTTGTATCAATGTTGGATTCTTAAAGGAAGATCATGTTTTGGACTACATAGCCTAATGACGAAGTTTGAAGGAAGTTTGACTGTCTTAGTCTTCTAGTATACCCTAAATACGTTAAGAGTTTCGCTTGTGTTATAGTATAGAAATTCCAATGCCACTTTGCATTGGGAGGAATTTAAGTTACTAGTGTTACATTTAGGGTGATTTATCATAGTGGGAGGATTCATAACGAAATCGTAAGATTGTATGTTTATAGAATGTTAGTGATGACAAGATTCTTCATAAACATATAGTTCCTTCCTAGAAATATGAATAAACGCCCATTTCTATAGATGCAAGAAATTGGCTTAGTGCTATAAGAATCCAAAGTGGAAATGATTAGACAGAGAAAAGTGAAAACCTTTTAAAAGGTTAGGCTTAAAGTACGAAGGTTCTGTCGGAAAGAAATGGATCGACTACGACGAAACTTTCTAGCTAGTAGCCACACTTTAGTCTATTTCAAATTCCTAAAATCTGTCAGTGCCATGTTTTAATTTGGTAGATGGATGTCAAGATTTCGTATCTCTTGACGAGTGCATTTCACGATGCAAATTAAATGGATTTTAGCTTAGTGCCATATGCATTGCAATGCAAACTTAATAAATTCATTTATGAATTTAAGCAAAGAGCGCATATCATGTGACATTTGGATTGATCATAGAATCAATATTTTGATTTTGATTAGGAATCTAGATGTATCACATTTTGTAACGGAAGCGTGGTGAAAGTCTTACAAGATGTATTAGATAATAATTTCCTTTTAGAAAATGATTTGGAAATTATTTAGGTAAGGGTATTGTTTCTTGAGTCAAATCAATATGGATAACTTGAGTGAAACTAGTTATGTCGTATGGATCATTTTATAGGATCTATGAAATAGGACATTAAGTTGTCACGGACAAGTTATATTGATTTAAATACTTGCCAAATTTAGCATGTACAAATTCCAAAGAAAGAATTGTTTCTTTCAGGTATGGAGTCACTCTGTCGAGAAATTAGTGTCTTTGAACACATAATGCGGTAGAGATGTTGAAGGCAGTTCTTATTGTGAAAGAAGCCTTACATATGCTATAGTAAATAATTAAATTCAATCTTGCTTTGCATCTTGCATAGTTAGCAAATGTGAATTTGTTTTGAGGCTAGTATGTTAGACTGCGGTAAAGTATATTCTTAAGTATTCAAAGATACAAGATTATATACTAGTTTACTAGGCGGATAGTCTTGGTACGACTCAATAATTAATGGTCAAGCATAGTAATTTTTCTATAGCATGTTATCACTGTGGGAGATTTATTTTCCTAAGGAAGTGAAAACGTATAGTGGGAGGTTTATGCAATTTTGCGATTGCATATTCTGCTAGATTTACAATGTGTGCTTTTACATCGAATGATAGCCCTATAGATATATTCTATGGATGGGTTAGAGATGTTGAGCTGCGAGTCTTTGAGTCTAAGTGGGAGATTGTTAGGATAGTAGACTAAAAGTCTCGCTTTTAGCTTCATAATTTTATTATTGAATTAATAAAATAATTTATTATCATTTTATGAGAATCTGCACTAGGGTATTCAATGCATTTAATTGATTGTTTGTCAATTAATTAAAAGCACAAGTCTAATATTCTAATAGTATTCGAGATGGTGTGCTACGGCGCACAGAAAGATCATTTCGAAAGTTCGTTTGGAATATAAAGATAAATGTTCACAATCTAGATGGAAATGGACTAACCATTGGTAAAAGATTGTAGCACAATATTTAAGTGATTGGTCTTGATCAAGTAAACAGAGAATAACTTTTGTAGTTATTGTTTTGACTTATTGTGCTAGCACACCCGGCATGTGTTGAAACGGACAAAGTGAAATAATTGTTTCATCACTGTTCATAAATGAAACTGTATTATTTCTAGTTGACAGTATATTACTTACTCTCTTAATCCCTAGATAATTAACGTACACATTTAATTGATGATCTCTACTTTGATGTCACAATGGGAGAGATTCCTATATTGAGTCAAATGGCCCCCGGTGCGTTGGGTAGAGACATTAAGAATTAATAGGTGGAAATTAATTATCGAAAGGAATCCACATCTCTGAAATATGAGATTGATAATAACCCTTGAGTAGCTTATAAGATTTGTTTATGCCAAGTCCTGGCCAGGTGGATTTCGTATCCGGCATACTCAAATAAGTTAAGCGGGCAAGACTCATGAAAAGAAACCATTTAATTTATTTAGCAGTGAATAAATTATTTGGTGGTTATAAGATATCTTAATGTGGGGAGAATCTAAGTAATGATCGACCGGAGCTCGAATGTAATATTTGAGAATATAAACGGGAGTTCAATAATTATTTGGTAGTGGAAAATAAATAATTATTTAATGATTAATTAAATGAATTCTTTTAAGAGTTTGGATTTAATTAATTATTAGTTGCCCGATTTATATTTTCTCCTTTAGTCCCTATTGTAGCCCGTTGGATTTTCTAATTAATCGAGAAAATAAAGTTCAACCAATATAGCCGAAAATTAAGTCCCCTTTGGATTATAATTTTCGACTATATAGAGTTATAGAAGCAGTGGGATTTGTTTCCATGTAATCCTCTCTATGTGGGACTCTAATTCCTTGTGCTATATATAATAGAGATTAGGTTGATGAAAATTAATTCCTAGACGCTTATTTCACGTTGGAGAGAAATATTTTTTCTCTTCTTCTTTTCTCTCTAAATTCTCGATTATAGTTTTAGATTTCTTCAAGTACAAGTCCACCCTTGTAGAAGAATTATTAATCCGGGATATACAATAGAAGATTATAGGTTTTAAGAGCAAACTATAATTCCCGAATTTTCTGAGCAGTCCTGCGAAGAAATTCACCATAAATCAACCGTTAGTCGGATAGGCTCGAAATTTATACAGTTGCTTCCTAACCCTTAGATCAACAATCGGTCCAAAGGGTTTCTCGATCGGATCAACGATCGCGGAGATATCGGTGAAGGAAGAGGACTGGAAATTTCTGGACAGCAGCTTTTACGAAGGTTGAAGGCTTGACGTGGATCCTCGTTCGTGCGCCGAAGATAGAAACGGATCTGCTCGCGAAAACTGTAAGTTGCTAGATTAGATTTATTCCGCTTTAAACGAATCTAATCAAAGCATGTTAATAAAATTAAAACCGGCTAATCTAGAACCTCTTGTGAATTTTCATTGAATCCTGGGCTTCACATCCCAACACGTCATAGCACCGATCTAGTTTCATCAGTTCAATTTTACTCGCCTCGGTCTCGCTCCTACTAATCTCCAATTCATCGGTCCTCTGAATGAGCAGAGTCTCGGCCACCTCTAGTTTGGATTCCGCAGCCTCCAATTGAGCCTTTAGCTTTTTCTCCCTTGCCTCCCAACCAGCACGCTCCTCATCATTGGTCTTCTCGACTTGCTCCTCCTGCTCCATAAGATACCTCCATATAGCTATAAGCTATATCAAAATTCAAACAGATAATATTAGATTATCGAAACTTATAATTTAAAAAAAAAAAAAAAAAAAAAAAAAAAAGAGAAAGGGAGGCTCAAGGTGGGTGGACGACGACAGGCTAAGTCGGAACACACTCACACATGGATTGCGCGGCTCCACTTCGCGCGGAGCCGAGCCGCGCGGCTCCTCTCACATCCTCGAGCCGCGCGGCTCCGTCTACTGGTTCCGCAGAAATTTCTCCGGATATCCCAATCGCGTACAATCGGAACGCGCGATGTCTTTCTCCGGTGCAACTTTTTTACCGGAACTCGACCCAATTACCTTCCGTACGGTACCAAAAGTCATCTCGGTCTCTACAATCGACTTTCGCAGGATAATTTTCAATTGTTTCGCCTTCCCCGCTTGGGACATATAAATTATTTTATCCGATGATCTTCTCAACCAGAGAATATTTTCTTTTCTACACCGGAGTATATGGAGCAAAATAAAATAGAGAGATATATAAAATAATAAATTTGATTACTCACCCATATTTATTCAACGTGAATCTTGATACACCTCTGTACTGTTTCACAAGGAATTACTTACTACAAGGAGCAAATTTATATTTAAACACTTTAAATATAAATCCGCTCAAGACTCCGGTTCACACAGTAATAATAATAAATTATTATTTTGATCCCTCCGTCAACGACACAAACACGAAGACCGAAAAACAATTCTACTCTCGACACGATCCGGTACTTCACCACAATTCACTTCCACATCGACTCGAGAGTGGGGGGCTTAATGATATGCCTATTGGGCCAGCCCAATTGACCCATATTTACTCGGCCACAGGCCCAACTTAATAGCTATTTATACGAAGGCCCAATCACACCCAAAAAAGGTTGGGTCCGATAAATTGATCTCGGCCCAATCCATAAAGTATAAATACAACTTAAATTCATTTAATAAAGGTACGTTATTATTATTCCCTCAATTCTTCTATTCGAATTCTCTCCTCATTTACCCACTATCTTCACGTCTGACTTGAGCGTCGGAGGGGTTTCCGCCGGATCAACCCCCGGCTTAGATTACGTGTTTTCTGTTCGCAGGATCCTAGAGTAAATTAAAGTTCTCAGGACTATCTAGCTCGTGAGCACGTGACCTACTTTGCTCTCCCAGCTTCAACACACTAGGTGATTTATTTTTTACGTCATCAATTATATACCATAATATCATAAGTTTTTATCATTTCAATATCTGATAATATCATAACAAGTTGAGTTTATTGTGAGATTTTTTGATAATATATACGAATTGCATAATATAAACTATGCATGGTTTTCATATTTTGCATGATATCTATTAGTATGTCTGAGTCATTTCCATATTTTATAATATATATTGTACACGTTTCTTCCATTTAATGTTTCATGAATTATTTAATTAATAAAACTAATTTCTTTTATTCTAATTTGTTTTTTAATTTCTGATCTAATTAGTTCTATTAATATTTTTTCAAGTCTTCCAATATTTTAGAATGAAAATAATTCGTGTAATAAATTAAAATCACGTAAAAATTCAAAATCCGAAAGTAAATTAGAAATTTGAAATTGCATATTAAAATTAATATCATCTAATAATTATTGTAATGCAATAATTATTTAAATATACATACTATTAATTTTCTTTTATTTAATTTCTGATAAAATTAGTTCTACTACTATCTTATGCATTTTTATATTTTAATGTAACAAATAAATCAATTATCCGGATTTCAAATTTTATAAAATTTGAATATTTAAGTTTTCCTTTTAATAGGTTGCCAAAATACTCTTCCAATTAATTTAGACTTTGAATGATTACTTATTTATGATGATTTCTTTTAGTTATCCAATTTTGGTAAAAAAAAAAATTCAATCAATGGCATATGGGGCATGTGTATATTCAATTATGGTATCCGATTTTGATTTGAGTTGAGTTTTGGAACCAATATGGTATATGTATATTCAGTTATGTATTGTATTTAATAATTTTGTTAATATTCCATTACTAAAATCCGAAATGTGAGGACTTTTGATCATATTTTTCTATTATTTTTTCGTTTCACTTTTATTGCCGCCCATGACCAATTAATTTGAAATTTGAATTCATAAAATTTCCTAAACGATATATCATAATCAAAACTATATAATCCCCCATTCATTTTATTCACACTACCCCAACCCTTTTCTACAGATAGTATAATGTACATTACATTGAATTTGATTTTTTTTTTTTGTTTATATTTTTTGTGCATTTTTCTTCTCTTATTTTTTGTTGGTATTTATATGTTTATGTTTTCCTAATTTTTTATATATGTTTTTAACTCCATTTGATATTTCTATTTAGTTAAATAATAACATGTTATATGCTTTATGTTTTTCTTGCAGAGTATTTTCACGAATCCAACTTCGATCATACATAATTCATCGAAACGGGTTTGCTTACATTTTTTATTTACAATTATTTATTTTATTATTCAATAATTTTTATAATACGAATATTTTATTATATAGTTTTCTATAATTTTTTTTTAATTTTCTATTTATTTATTTGTATCATTAACACAATTTGATATATGATTTTTTTTTGTTATACAGATGTGACAAAATTTAGCCACTTAGTTGAGGCCAAATCATGTGCACTTGTGCAACTATTGAAAAATATGCAAAAATATATAGTGGAATTACCCAGTTACGTTGCTTGAGTGGAAAATACAAAGCATACAGGTACATATACAAATTCACGGAATAAATGAGACTATAAAGAAATTAGAAATGCAAAATGGGATTCAAGGAAGTTTGACTGCAACATTATAGTTGTATGAAGTATGAACGCCATTGGCCCATTCTTTAATTTGGCAAAGCTACTATTAGGCTTATCTTCCCATTTTTTTTAGTAGGTTACAAAATTTTATATAAGTGTTTGCCGCACTTTGATTATTCATGGTAAATAGTTTTAAGATTATATATTATTCCAATCGATTAAGACAAGTCTTTCGTATATACGTCAATTTTTTTGTCTACATGATTCAATTTTAAAGAATTTATCACATTAAATGCTATATTATATTATAAATTTTGTTAGTATTTTTATTCACTTAATAATGTTTCGATGAGAATTACTATTTCCTTACATTTGTTTGACATTCACTCGTCATTATCTACTTTTTGTTTCCTTTATTTTTGTCATGTTTGTTATCAATATATTCCAATCAATTTACATATTAATTTATTTTAACTTTGTCAAAAATATTGATATGAATTTGATATATTCAAATCTTATTTTCAAAACTATACGAGTTTTTAATTTTTTTATTTCCTCAAATTATATTCTTTAATTACCTTAAATGGATAGATTATTTTAATATGTCCTCCCAATCTTATATATTTATTTGAACTTGTGAATATCAAGTTTTAATTAGTTGACTTGATAAATTATATAAATACGCAAAAAGAAAAATCATTGATTATAATTAGAAGTGTTTTAATCTTGCCTTCATGATCCGAATAGCATAATGTGTTTTGGTATAAATAAAAACCGCGTGAGTTTATTTAATAAGCTAATTTTTCAAATAAGCATGTTGCATCATCAAACAACAATCAATACCTTTTGTATTACTCTCCTCATAAAAGTGAAAGAAATGCTAAATATAAAATAGCGTGTTATATTCATATTATAAGAAAGGAAATTAGATTAATTGAGATTTTAAATATCATAACTTTTTTGATAAATAATCTTTTATTATAAAATTATTGTAGGCATGATAAATAATGAATTGCAATACAATGCTACGTCCGAGAAATTTAATTTGCATATAACCAAAAAGGACAATAGGCATGATTTATATTATACTAATCTATATAAAATATTTTAAAAAAATTATTGCCTTAACGAATGACATGTGTCAAGATGCTTATGTAAAACTTTGAAATCGCTTAGTTGAACTAAATTGCTTATGCATTTTAGTCAATTGATTATTTGTCAGCTTTTATTTTTGTATAATTAAATTGTTTTCTACTTAACTTTTGTATATACATATTCTTTTATGAATTTTATATTTTATAAATTCAAAAAATATTATCTTATTTAATTTAATGTTCCGAGAAACGTAATTTTTAATGTCTTTTTTTTTTGTATAATTTTTTAATTTAAATATTTACGTTAATAAAATTTTAATTGAGACATACATTTGAATCATTTATGTCCAATTATATAACAATATATATTTTTTAGGTAAAATTTATACTCCTCCCATTCAGAGTTAATGCTTTTAGGAAAATCGATTTGCTACTGCCGCCCAATTGAAATTTTTTAATTTTAAAATCTTATATTTTCTACCATTTATATGTACTACATGCACACTTTATGGTAGTCCGTAAGTATTTTGGTTTGTTTAATAATAAAGTGTGAGTATGATTATAAGTATTATTTTGAGTACGAATATAAGGATTAGTATCAGTATCAGTATTAGTATCGGTACCGGTATCGGTATCGGTATCGGTATCGGTATCGGTATCGGTATCGGTATCGGTATCGGTAACGGTATCGGCATTAGCATTATTTTTATCATCATCATTAGCATTAGCATTAACATTAGTATCAGTATTAGTATTAGTATTAGTATTACGATTAGTGTTAGTATCAGTATTCACATTAGTATTAGTATTAGTATTAGTATTAGTATTAGTATTAGTATTAGTATTAGTATTAGTATTAGTATTAGTATTAGTATTAATATTAGTGAATATAATATGTATCAATATCAGTATCACTATTATCGTTATTAATATACTATTAGTATTAGTATTAGTATTAGCATTAGTATTAGCATTAGCATTAGCATTTGTATTAGTATTAGTATTAGTATTTGTATTAATATTAGTATTAGTATTAATATTAGTATTAGTATTAGTATTAGTAATAGTATTAGTATTGGTATTAGTATTAATATTAGTATAATTAGTATTAGTATTAGTATTAGTATCAACATTAGTATTACAAGTTGCATGGACAATTATATATCGTAA